GGTGCTGGAAGGGCGCGCCTGCACGTAGCCCCGTCGTCGGAGATCCTCACTGACTGCGAGCCGCGCCCGGGGAGGCTGCCCGGGGTGGAACCCTCGTCCGTCGCTGGGCGGACAGGGGGGGGGGTGCGCTGACATGTCGTAGATGTCCCAATCCTCAGTGCCTTCGCTATTCGCTGGCCTCTTGATGGGGCTGGGGGGATATATCTCATTCGAGCCTGCGTCCAGCACCTCGTCGAGTGCGCTGGGTGCAATGTCCCAGATGTGCACCAGGCATCTCCTGCAGGCCCAGCCGGCGTTCCACTGCCTTTTGATCCACAAAGACGGCATTGCCTCCCATTCTGGGAGACCTGTGCGATCACTGCACTCAGCTCCTTCCTCTGGGCGCCATATGAAGCACCCCAGGGCGGGCGCGCCTGCAGTCCATTCGAGACATGGGGGGTATGGGGGGCAGAAGTCGCACTTAGCCGAGTAGCAATTGCTACGGTGCGCCTCTGTTCCAAACCTGCCGTCTGAAAGCTTTCGCGGTGGTAGCGCGGTGCCTACGCTGGCGGGGCGGTAGGTTCCTGATGCCCCAGTGGTAGCCTGGACAGGGATGGGGGGGTCTTCGCCCTCTTCTGCTCACGGTTGACTTGTAGCCTGCGTTTATGCTCCTGTAGTAGCCACTGCATGGACTTCTTGTTGATGCGCCCCGCGGGATCGGGCTCGGGGAGGGGAATGCCTTGCCTCTCCATTGAGACGATCCAACAGCGTTCGCAGAGCCACCTGCAGTTCTTCCCCTCTGAGTACGCCTGCGGCCGGTTCTGGGCAAGCAGCTCCCGGGTGTAGTCGCCCTCCCAGGTGCCTGCGGAACCGTGGAGCCCCACGCTGTGGCACCCGTCGCAGTTGTAGAAGGCCTCCTTCTGTAGTCTGCTGAAGCGCCCATCGTGCACGACGGGGGGGGCCAGCGGTTTACCTGGGGCCGGTGAGGCGGGGGTGTCTTCGTCGAGGCGATGGTCGGAGATGGCCTTTCCTCCGCCAATGTACTGTAAGTCGTCCACGGTCCGTGGGCATCCCAACCCTATCTCCGACCCTGTCATGGCAGTGTGAAGCAGGCAGATGGAGCACTCCCCGGCATGCAACCGCTTCACGTCCGCTGGCCGCACAATAGCTTCCAGTACGCGAAGGGGGGCTTCCGACGTGAAGTCGTGTGTCTCCATCCCCGCCCACGTTTTCGGACAGCCATATTTGCCAGCAATCTCGTGGTGGCGAGCGTAAGTGGCCAGGGTACTCGTATGACGTATGACCTTGGCAAGTTTGGTGTGGAGAGTCTCGAGGTCCGCCAGCTGGTAACCCCACGTCGCTGCATACTGTGTGCGGAACCCTTTGTGCGCTTCCTGCCACGGGAGGTAAAGGCCCACGATTGCCTCGAAAATGTCACCAGTGACCTCGGGGTTTGGGAAGGGCCATAGCGTGGCACGAGGCTCACGCAACTGCAGCATCATGACAACCAGAGGTACCCTGAGCGCCTGGGGGGAAAGCGGCTGTCCGTCAGCACCAGTTAGTGTGCCTGTGAGCTTCGTGTTGATCCCCTCGGGCTTGAGTAGGGCGTGCAGGTTCTCCTTCCATGGGTGCACCCTGTGCCGACGACACCGGCAGGTAGTACTGCTCCATGCTGCTGGAAACTGCTGGAGCGTGTCACGGGGGGGCGCAGCGACTGTTCGTCTTGGGGGCCCGGTTGGAACCCACCATGTGGGGTAGTGGTGGGAGCGATTCATACGCGACGCCTAGCTGCTTGTCGTTCCATGGCGTGCCGAGCCCGAGGAACCAGACAATGGCCGCCCACGTGAGGTTGTACACGAGGTTGCTCGCGTCGATCCCAATTTCCACGTCAAGGCAGTGACCCAGGTGGCTCCACGCCTTCCTGTCTAGGCTGCCTGGTTGCCTGGGTGTGGCCCCCATCTGCCACTGGTGGGGGTGTAGTCCGGAGACTGTGTACAGCAGAATGCCCATGAGCGGGTCGTCGACCAGCTCCTGGATGCTGTCTGAGAGGGCGGCCCCAAGCTTCGCCCACGAAAAAAATCATCGAGTGGTGCCGCGATGCCGTCCGTGAAGGAGCTCTCCAGTTTGGCCTAGGCCTTCCTGATGGCATCATCCAGGCCTTTTACACTGTCATCCCCGGTGTGTGTGGGAGCGGCGGGGATCCACGACTCCAGGTCCTTGATGGGGTCGAATCCCTGGTCACAGTGTAGGGCGGTACGGTTGCCCATGTCGCTCCCCTGGAAGCGGACCCAGAGTCTGGCCATCCTCCCGTATTCCGAGAGCTCCCTGAGGTGTGACCCCGTGGCGGTGCTGAACATTCTTCCGTCCCCGATTATGACAACGTGCGACGCGGCACGCGCGATAGCAACATTCACTCTATTGGAATTGTCCATGAGACCCCAGTCGTGGCAGTAGTTGGACCGCGTGGTCAGGTAGATCACGATGTCTGCCTCACCGCCTTGGCTGGAGTCGATGGTGGAAATGTTGAGCCTGCCGTTGGCCAGGTATTTCCCGGCTACCTGACCTATGGTGGGGATACGCGAAGCGTCCGCAATCCCAATCTTGCCACACCACCATATATAAATAACTTATCCCGGCAAAGCAACCTAACAGCGATGTGTAGGAGCATATCTGGAAGCATTCCCTTTAAGATTCAGATGAGAATCCAGTTGTAGAATTGTGCTGTTCTCGCAGTCGTAGTCGCATTCGCGATGACAGTCGCAGTGGCAACGGCAGTCACAGGCAAGGCAGTCACAGACACAGCCTCAGCCTCAGCCTGCCTCAGCCTCAGCCTCAGCCTGCCTCAGCCTCAGCCTGCCTCAGCCTCAGCCTCAGCCTGCTTCAGCCTCAGCCTCAGTCTGCCTTCAGCCTCGGCCTCAGCCTCAGCCTGCCTCAGCCTCAGCCTCAGCCTCAGCCTCAGCCTCAGCCTGCCTCAGCATTCAAAATGTGGCCCGGGAATGGAGTTCTGGGAACTCGAAGAACACGAAGTGGCCTACAGTTGGCTCCGGGCATTCAAAATCATGCCCAGGAATGGAGTTCTGGGAACTCGAAGACCACGAAGTGGCCTACAGTTGGCTCCGGGCATCCAAAATGTGGCCCGGGAATGGAGTTCTGGGAACTCGAAGACCACGAAGTGGCCTACAGTTGGCTCCGGGCATTCAAAATGTGGCCCGGGAATGGAGTTCTGGGAACTCGAAGAGCACGAAGTGGCCTACAGTTGGCTCCGGGCATTCAAAATGTGGCCCGGGAATGGAGTTCTGGGAACTCGAAGACCACGAAGTGGCCTACAGTTGGCTCCGGGCATTCAAAATGTGGCCCGGGAATGGAGTTCTGGGAACTCGAAGAGCACGAAGTGGCCTACAGTTGGCTCCGGGCATTCATTCAAAATGTGGCCCGTGGAATGGAGTTCTGGGAAGTCGAAGAGCACGAAGTGGCCTACAGTTGGCTCCGGGCATTCAGAATGTGGCCCGGGAATGGAGTTCTGGGAGGTCGAAGAGCACGAAGTGTGTGACTGTTGGCTTAAAACGACTTCTGCGGCACCCTGTCCGGCACCCGCCCAGACTCCCTGTGGAGTCATCTGCTGCTCTCTTTTGACACCACTAGAAACCTATCAGAACAAGCTGTTAGGTAATAAATAAACCAAGACAAACCACACATATTGAAACTCCAAGGGCCTCGGGAGTTCAAACCCTAAGTGACTAATAAGATAGATAAGCGCAGACGCCGCAGAGTGTTCTTTACACACGAATCAAGAAGGTAACATGTGTGGAGATATTCGCAGCCGCTGGGAATTCTGAGCACCTTGAAATTCACACATCTCCCACGGCCTCGGGAGTCCAAACCCCAGGCGACCAAGAAACCCGAGAATCTCAGATACTCATAGCTTCGTTAGATTTTAACATTAAAAGACATATAAGTGTTGATAAATTTCGATGTTGTTTGAATCCCCCAAGGCCTCGGCAATCCAAGCCCCAGGCGATCAGGAATCCATATCACCCAGACCCCCCTGATCTTCTATGTTTCGAATTCTTTTGACACGTGAGAAAGTCATGCATCTGCTCCACCAAAAAACCCAGGGACTCGGGATTCCAAGCCCCAGGTGACCAGGAATCCCGAAAACCCCAGAACACTGGAGATTCAACATTTGCATGTAAACAACTATCGTATATAGGGAGTCGCTGATGTTTCACAAAGGTGCATTGAACATTTTGAAATTCCCAGTGCCTCGGGAATACAAGCCCCAGACGACCAGGAATGCCAAAAACCCCAGGCCCCGCAGAATTTGCGCCCCGGACACGAGGCCTACGGTGCTTGCCAGGTCCGGGGAGATCCCAAAGGAGGAGCGAGGACGAGGAGGATGAGGAGGAAGAGAAGGAGAAAGGAGGGAGGAAGGTCATTCAAGCTCCCAAGATGGTATCCCCTCCTGGTCGACCGATCGTTCCTCCCCCCTTCCCCACTGCGCCTCCATATCCTTCTCTTTCTCCTCCTCCTCCTCCTTCTCCTCCTCCTGCTCCTGCTGAGCAGGAGAAGGACGAGGAACAAGAGGAGGAGTAGAACGAGGAGGAGGAGGAGGAAGATGCAAAAGAGGGAGAAGCAGGATGATGATGATGATGATGATGAGGAGGAGGAGGAGGAGGGGGAGGAGGAGGAAGCGGAGAAGGAGGAGGATGAGGAGGAGGAGGACTGAAGCACCGAGGAGGAGGAGGAGAGGAGGAGGAGGACTGAAGCACCGAGGAGGAGGAGGAGGAGGAGGAGGAAGAGGAAGAAGAAGAAGAAGAGGAACAGGAGGAGGACGGCCAGTGTCGAACCCCCCTACCCCTCGATCCTCGTCGTCATCCTTCCCCTCCTCCCCCCCCCTCTCCCCCGCCTCGCCCCTGTTGTCCTCCTCCTCCTCCTCCTCCTCCTCCTCCTCCTCCTCCTCCTCCTCCACCCCTCCCTCGCTCCACCCCTCCCGCCTCCCCCCCCGGCGCAGACAGCCGAGCTCAGTTCGTGTCCATCGGCGCCGGGCCCCCCCCTGCGGCCGCCGGCGGGGCGACGCCTGGGGTTTCGCGGCCGCGCCCTGCTCGGCAGAGCCCGGCCCAGTTCCGCCCCCTCAGACGGCAGGGGGATGGGGGGGGGAGGAGCTTTGTATTCAAGTATGTGATTGTTCGCCGGCACGGGCCATCCGTCTCTGATGAGCATTGGCGGCCACGAGGGAAGATCGCCATGCCCTCAGAGTTCCGGAAGACGAAATAATGCACGCGAGACAGAACACAGGCAGGCAGCGGCGGCCAAAAGGCCAGCACCGCGTCACGGAAACTGAGGACTAGACGATGCGAGGCGGCAGCACAGGCGTATTGGATAAACAACCCGAAATAACGGGCGCAAGAAGGGCTCCATAGGGGTTCATCCAGGGCCCGCCTGACTGCGGCGTGCGGAATGTTTTCACCCCGCAGTCCCGCACGGAGTAAGAAGAACTGAGCGCTGGAGGAACCGCCCACCCACGGCATACACCACATCAAGGCTATCTCGCCACAAATTCGGCCTGAGGCGAAACCCGAGGCACCGCGCGGCCAGTCCACCTAAGCGCAACGCTGCCAAGTGGCGCTTCCAGACGTCGAGGCAGCATGAGAAGAGGAAGTGCACACAGATGCTAGCTCAAAAGTAACTGGCAGGACCAATTTACCGTCTAATCTGATCCCGATTCACCACTGCGACATCCCAAACCTGGGCAGATTGGATCAGACTGGAGGCCTGTCATTCAACTCTCCGTTCGTCCTCCGCGGGGAAAATCAAAACAAGAAGCTCTGGGATGCTTCGGGGCCAACGCCAGTTCGTCAACTTCTTCCGCGTTGCCCGAAGTTTTCTTGGACGAAGGCCTACTCCAACAGCGATGTTGTCTCCAGCTGCGGACATCACGCTATAACGCTGGACGCATAAGGGGCGATAGCCAGGGACGAGAGACAACCCCCTCGATCGGAGGCTACGACGATGAGGGGGAACAGTGCGTCCGATCTTCCTGGATTTAGCTGCCTGGAACGCAGTCGGACGAGCCTGGCCTGCTCGAAGCCAGAGAAGGTCACGTACGCTGGCTCCTTGGCAGCGTAATCTTCGGTCGGCTTCTCTGGCGGGCGGGCGGCGGAGGCCTCCTCCTCCTCCTCCTCCTCCTCCTCCTTCTGTTTCTCCCTCGTGCTTGGGTTCCCTCTTGGAGTTGTCTGGCTCTTCTCCAGCCTCTTCGCCCACGTCCTCATCCCTCGTCTGTGTATGTGCCGACGAGCGAAGGCGGCGGCTACCGCGCCACATTCGACGACGCTCGATTGCGCGCGCTCTGAGACCGCGGGAGCCACCAGGCAACGGGCGCCTCGGGATAAGGGGGTTCCCTCCAAACAATAAGCTGGGCGAGACTAAGTCCGCCGCGGTGGAAGGGCCTATTCTGCGCGGCGACGATCTCACAGAGCAAGAGATCGGTCTTCTCGCGCGCGGCGGGGTTGACCGACGCGGCCGCCTTAGATGGCGCATCCTGCGCCATTCCTCACATGTCTCTCGAAGTTCCTGCTCTGCCAGGGGGCAACTGGCGGGCGTCATGTTTAGAAATATCCCCGATTGTGCGCAGACCTGGAAGAACGCCCTCCAAAGCCCCCCCCGCCGTCGCTCATGGCCGTCTCGGGGGGGACCGCTGGGTCTGGCCCACCACGCAGTGGAGGTGGCCCAAACTGACCTGTCGACGTCATCTGGAAGACGAGTGCACTGCTAATGGCTAGCGCCGCGATCCATCGCGTCGAGCACGGGCGCCGGGGAACCGTCCTTTGACGTTGGAAAGGTCCACGGTCACCAAGCGGTTGACAGAACAAGCGCGGGACTCGCGAACGCGGGACTCGCGCTGGCTGCGCGAGGTTCCTCGACCAAGGCCAGACCCTGGGGCCCGGGGAGAGCGTCGTCCTCTGCCTATGGCTCACTTCTCTCCACTGAATCCCCCTCGTATCTTCCCGCGGCGACGGCGGGCTCGACTGGCCAGCCGGGGCGGGCGTCGTTCTCTTTCAGCGCCTCAGCTGCCGCCCCAGATCGGGCCTCGCCTGGGCGGTGAAAGCGCCGGATCTGATCGCGGCTTCTGTCGCGTCGGAGATCAGCTCGGGCGGGCGGCGCTCAGCTCCACTGGGCCTGGCCGCGCCGATCAGCTGAGAGCGCGAGTGCGCCCGCTGCACCGGCGCGCGCACTTTTCCAGAAGCTCGAGGCTGTGGCTCGCCAACCTGGCCACTTGTTGGACGAGGGGGCCGCCCTCGTCCAGGGGCAGCCCGCGCTCGCATCAGTCCAACCCGCGGATCTGGCGAACCAGCGATTACACGTCGGTCGGAAGAAGTAGGTAGAAACATGAAGTAGGAAGGCGGCTATAGTGGATGGGGTCCAGGTCCTCCCAGAGAATAACAGAACACAGCAAAAGCGCGCCGATTCTTGAAGTAGGAAGGCGCTTGAAGTAGATTGGGATCTGAAAATCCCAAAATACCTACTTCCAACGACCGGCGCGTATCTTCGCGCGCTCAAGATCCCGAGACAGAGCGGGCACGAGATGCTCGATAGCGAAGAAATGCCCGCGTGACAGCTGAAATGCAGCGGCTCTACAACAAAGGTGCTGACATCGAACTCCGCAGAATTCCTCGATCCTCTCCGCGTCGAGATCCGCATCCCCCCAGACGGGCGCAGTGGTCGCGCTGGGGGCCCTGCATACTGGAGACATGTCAGCGAAGATGGGTCGACCCGTCGACCCCGTTCGAGAACCTCCCGCGTCCAAACCTATCCCGAGGCCGAAAGAAGGTCGACGCCCGCGCGCACATCCATGGCCAGCGATACCTCGGCCCCATCGCCCCTTAGCTCGACGGAGATCCTGAGAGGGGGGAAGAGTTCAAGCGCGGCCGAGCCCCCGCGCCGTCTTTCGAGCCCATTGACGGTCTTCCGTCGGGCCTTCTTCGCGCTCTGAACCCCGACCGATCAGAACCCGAGCCGCTGCCTGGCGGACCTTCCGGGAAAGCGAGGGGGGGGGGGGGGGGGGGGGGGGGGGGGGGGGGGGGGGGGGGGGGCGCCGCGTCCTTCTGCGGCGGCAGCCGCGAAGCGGTCCTCGACGATGACTTCGCACCGTCCTCGATCCTTCCCCAGCTTGCGTTCCTTCTCAGCCTCCTCACCTTCCCCAGCTGCATCCTTTCCGCGACAGAACGATGCCATGGCACTTCCCGTCGGCGCGGATTCGACGCGTCTTTGGATGTCGCTGGCACTGAGAATCCCCCATAGAGAGTCGACGCGCCCCCCCCCCTGGGCGGCGGCGCCCGCGCGCGCTCGCCAGGGTCGGGGGGCAAGAGTGTCGGAGGAGCAGTGTCTCCGCAGGCGATTCTCATGCAGTCGCTGCCGCAAGTAATGCGCGTTGCTCCGAGGCCCCAAATGTTTCCTCGCCCAGCCCTTTTCCTCGGCCAAGCCCTCGCCGTGGAAGGCGGCGCGCCGGGCCCGGCCCCTGATTCTGCAACTGCAGGACAACCCTAACATAGAAGTGTTCAGATGAATGCTGGCGTCTGGGTCATCTGCGAACTGCGAGCGCCCCCTGGAACTTTAAGCGCCAACGGACGCATGCGAGGTATAACGGTGCGACGGCAGCGATCCACTTTTCAAATGACCTTGTTCTGTAATGTCCCCGTTGATTGCATCACGCTGCAATGCATGGCAGGATCACGGCGGGCGCCGCTTGCATGGGCGCACGCCGATTGACTCCTTGGCCCCAGAGCTTCGTTGTAACGCATCTACACTGCGCGCGGGTCTGTGGTCTGATTCGCTTTTATTATTCGTGCGCGCAGGTGCTGTTCCCCGTTCCCGTTCGCGCTCCTGCCCCAGACTGCGGCGGATGTGCACTGTCAGTCTTTCGTTGCGCTCGCGCCGCCGCCCCATGGGCGCTCCGCTCGCCCCCGCGAGCCCATCCGTTCACCCGCGCCTCAGTTGCCTTGCGTTGGGCCGACGCTCGATCATCCCGCGGGGTGCGTTGTGATACATGCAACGATCGCGTAACCGAGCTTGACATGGCCAGGAATAGTGCCACATGTTCCGACCAGTCATTGCTGGTTCCGTCGATGCTCCGAGGGGGGGGGGGGGCGGGGCTGGGTAAGGAGGAGAGGGGAGGGAACACGACGCAATTGACGAATGATGGGGGAAGAGGACGAGGAGGACTACGAAGACGAGGAAGGAAGGACGGACGGAGGAGGCAGACGGAGGAAAGAGGTGGAGTGAAGGGGGGCAGGATGTGGGAGCGACGCGGCTTGGGCGATGCATCTCGCCCACTCGTTCGGGAAAGTCGCCGTCGCCGCTGCCTTTGTCAATTCTCGGAGTCGCACTGGGACTTCTCCGGGTTTCGTAAACCACCTTGGCCACGTCTCGGGCGTGCCCTGATTTGTTCCCCACATGCTTGGTGGGGTTCTGGTTTTCTTCCCTGCCGCGCCGCACCCGCGTCTCCTCACACCTCCCCTCCTCTCTCTTTCTTCCTCCCCTCACTCACACACACACACACACTTCACTCTTCCCCCCCTCGTCACAGCACTGCTCAGCTCAGCTCACACACGCGGCTTGGCACGTGCGGCACATTCTCGACGCCATAGGGGTCGTCCACGGCAGAGCAGGCGTGGCAGTTTTGCACAGCACGCCTGCACAACACAGCACAGCATAGCACAGTACAGCACACCGCAGCACAGCACGGCACGGCACAGCACAGCACATCGCAGCACAGCTCAGCACAGCATAGCACACAGGGCAGGCGCGCAGGGCACGGCACGGCAGAACGTGGCAGGGGTGGCACTTTCTCGACACCACAGGGGGTGCGCAGGGGGTGGTCCCTGAGCTCGGCCGCTATGCACGACGGTTGTCCAGGCACAGCAGGCGTGGCACTTTCTCGACACCACAGGGGGTGCGCAGGGGGTGGTCCCTGAGCTCGGCCGCTATGCACGACGGTCGTCCAGGCACAGCAGGCGTGGCACTTTCTCGACATCATGGGGGTGCGCAGGGGGTGGTCCCTGAGGCGGCCGCTACGCACGA